TAAATATTTGTGACCAAATTAAAGACAAACCCCCCTTCTGTATCTATATCCCTCCCCACACACACTTCCAAAATTATGGTTAACCTCACGTTACAATGAAGCCTTACCTAAAAGGTCTTTTTTATTGATTTTACAACTTAAATACCTTGTTAGTACCTGATATAGTTCAACTGAACTGTTTAGCTCAGCAAGCTGCTCCTTGAGTAGCTGCAGGTTTGAATTAACAAAACTGAGTTCTAGAGCTACAGTTTCTCTCATCTTCTTGTTTGTTGTTGCTCTAAAACAAATATATATTTAGAAAGTTTAATTGTCTTTGTCGACAGGTCCAAAATACACCTCGATTATTTCACAGTAATACAAAGTGTACTCTAAGCAATGTGCATGCAAGGGGTTGCGACCCTTCAAAGTTGACCCGGTCTAGCTCTCCGGATCTATCTATGTACTTTATAAAACACCAGGTTTGACAAATAATAGCCTATTACATAATGTGTAGAAGAATAGAGAAATATTATAAAACGTAAATATTCATTTTTTAACAACAGAAGCTTTGATAGATGTGTAACCATTATAACTCCAAGTCTATTGATTACATCATTAAGGACAAAACTGCTAGAGGCAAGGTCTATCTTTAAGCTATTCAAGCCGATTCATTGATTCAAGCCAAAACAACTCGATACATGTTAACCTTGCGTGTGGGATTTGTCTGGGTGGAAAGATTGATTTTAATAACATTTTTTAGGCAAGCATTAATCCTATACTTAATTTAAAGAGACCTTACATACAGGTCCGATTTACAAAGACACAGTTTTTTTAGTTTAACTAAGCGGAAATGAAAGAGATATCCCTGGCTAACCATCTAAAAACTGAAAATTTTCATTTGCTGTCTCTGTGAGAGTGACTTGCTTATTTATCCGACAAAGAAAAGGAAGGAAATGTTCAGAATATATTTCTTTTCTGAAAATAAAGCAATGATATCTATTCCAAGGTTACAAAAAATAAAGGGAGGTAGAAGGGGTGGATGGGGGAGGAGGGACCACCACCAACAATTGTCAGATTACTATCTGAACTTAGATAAAGCATAAGGTCTTGATTAAATATTTGTGGCAATTTTACACTTTTCTCATTTTGTTTCGTTTTAACTCAACCGATTGAACTCTTCATCTGATCAATAATGTAGAAGACATTGCTATTTTTTAGGCTATTCAAGTGTTTCCCTGCAATAAAAATTCAAAAGTTACTTTGTAAAGAAACCACAGTTTGAAAAGAATTATTAAAAAAAAATATAATCATACTTGATCAGACAACACTTTTATGGTACCATTGTGAATTTGGTAATTCCATTTTTGCATGGAGGGTCATTTGAAATTACAATTACAATCCCTTCAAGGTTTCAAATATTAAAGATTTACATTCAGGTTACAGAAAAAATAAGTTGGAGGCAACCTTAAATTATTTCCCTTATCGATAAACTTGAGTTTACTTCATTGTTTCCTTTAAAATAAACATTAAATAAATTTGAAAACAATGATGAATAAAAAAGTACTCTGGACAAAATTCAAGAATTTATACAAGAGGGGTAACAAAAAGTGTAAACTATCAAGTTGTACTTTAAACCTCTAGGATGTTGTATAAATATCTATATATATATATATGGTTCGGTTTATATATATATATATTTTATGTTGGTTCGGAGAAATTATTTGTTGAGCGCCTGTCCTTGACCCAGACCTGAAGGTATAGGACCAATCCTACACCTTATACTAAACTTGAACCCTACCCCAGGCTCCAGGCAGCAAACATACCTTTCATATTCTTTATATCATCCTTTACATTATCTATGCAGGGTTCCACCTTTGAGTTAAAATATAAACTTGGAAATAGCTAACTTTATATTTTTTGTGATGCTTGTTTAGGAAACGGTTGAACCGAATGCAGGGCATTATTTTAATTGACCCTCCAGTTACAAACTTTACAGTCTCAAAACTTTTGTTTAATCAAGAATGACTGAGATATCCATATTTTTAACTTTGAAAATTGTGGTTTCTCTTTTTAAGGTAACTTACCTCTCATCTGCTACGATTAAAGTCATTTTAGAATTAAAATTTGTCAAGCTAAAAATTTAAATATATCTTTCACATTAATGACCCGATTAAGGTTTATAGAGTACCGTTGTGAATCTAGTGATCCGATTAAGGTTTATAGAGTACCGTTGTGAATCGTGCACGCAGGGTCACTTAAAAATGACATTAAAGAAGGGTAAACGGACATTTTATTTTATACAATATAAAATAGAGAAGATGGAAATAAACTAGGGTTTCAAACAAAAGTGGATTTTACGAGCGCGCCATGTAAATTCCTCCCAATTTCGCGCAATTCCGCACAATTCCGCGCAATTCGAGAACAGTTGCTCGCAACGGAATTGCAATTGGAAACCCTAAAATAAACTCATCTATTTACCATCCATCAATCCAACCAATCTAACAAACCCACTCAAACGGAAAATTACGTGTACTTCACAAGAAAATGTAGTGCGCGTTTCAACTTTTTAAGCACACAATTATTACGTGTTTGGCACGGGATGCTCATGCTATATAGAGAAAATTGCGCCAATTATATACGATGATTTTAGGAATCTAACAATTCATCTTGTAGAAAAGAAAAGGGGAAAAGAGGCTATTCCTCCAAAGTAAGGGTGAAACTCTGGGGAACTTTTTTTGGGGTAAAAATGCTCAAACCCATTTTGCCAGATCTGAAATTTTTGTTAATACAATTTATGAAAACAATTGAGAATTACTTTTTATAATTTTCAAATTCATTAAGATTTTATCTTTTTTTGTGTAAATCAAATCGTTAATGTAAGCGAGAGAAAATGTAAAAGCAAAAACTGTTTTTGGAAGGATATTTGTCATTTTAGCAAATCATACAATTTTTGCTTATTAATTAATAAATGAGTTTTGTTTTTCAATTTTTTAGTTGACAAATCTTGCTTCTCATTTGCTACTGGAACATTTTTTGCTTGTGGAAAAATACAAGATTTTGATAGGAAAATCTAATTATTCTTATTAAAGTTAAATCTCAAACATACATATTTAAAAACATGTTAACATGCATGATTTTGCCGCTATTAGATCAAATTTAGATTATAATTAGCCTATCAAATAACCTATCCTCACATTGCTCTCTTCGATGAAATATAATATATAATATATATATTATATGCATGCTTTAATGCCCTTCAATTGAACCATGTTAAAAATAAACTATTTTATCTTCACATTTATTTCAACGTGTAAAGTTTTTGATGGTTAATCTTCATTACTGACTTTATGCATAAGCATGTCTTAGCATGTTTTCTATATTAGAGGGGGGGGGGTACAGGGTGTCCCAGTAAGCATGGGAATAAAGTGACGATCGTCTTTACTCAGAATTGTCGTTGTATTACCTAATTTCAATGGTCAAAATAAAGTTACGTTTGCTGGACAATATTTTAAGTTAACCCTATCACGATGGGGGGGGATGTTTTCCGCCCCCCCCCCCTATGGTTTTTCTTTATAACTTAAAAACAGCTTACATGCGAACGCTGAAACTTCTTCACTCTTCCAACTTCATAGTTGAGAACAAATGTTGCCGATTTTTTTGTTGATGCATAGGTTAGGGTAGAGGACGGTTAAAACGGCTGGTCGGTGTTTCAGAAAAATCAGTAATGGGTCATAACTTATATATATACTCTTTAAACTTATACATAGTCCCTTTAAACTTATAAATAGTCCCTTTAACACATATTTTGATTCCTTTTATCCCTTTGTGTTTTAATTTTTGTTTTACTGATTAACATCTGCACATCTGTTTTTTCAAAATAAACAATTCCCTAGTTTTCCTTTTCACTGTCCTCATACCTGCTCATCTGTTTCTCAAAATAAAAAATTATCTCTTTTTCCTTTTCATTAGCTTAATATCTGTTTCTCTGTTTCTTTATTTTTCTTTTTGACTGTCTTAATATCTGCTTTCAATTCCTAATACACCGGAAACACCAACAGGTGGAAAACGGGGACTATGGAGAGGGGAGGGGGGAGTATTAAGGAGGTGCGAAGGGGGGGGAATTTTGTATAGAGGGGGTGTGGGAGATGGGGGAGAATGTAATGGTATTGTTTCATAGAGGATATTGTGAGAGGGGGGGGGGGGTCGAGAAGAGGGAAGATCGACTAATTACCTCTTTTCTCCTTTTCCATAATCAACCCCTATCTTCCCTCCCACCATCTTCTGAATTATAGCAACCCATCCCACCCCCCTTCTGTATCTATATCCCTCCCCACACACACTTCCAAAATTATGGTTAACCTCACGTTACAATGAAGCCTTACCTAAAAGGTCTTTTTTATTGATTTTACAACTTAAATACCTTGTTAATCTTTTTGCCTTTTTATCTTTATAACTTATTATTTTATTTTTAATGAAGTGTTGTTTATTTGTTCGGTTTTATTGCGATATTAATTCTAAAAATTGTTATTTTCTCTTATTTTTAATCATTTCCTTTTAACTACGCAGATACAAATTTAAAACGCATTATCATACACCGACAGTTTTCTTTGAAATTAGTTCAATGAGAAAATAAAAAATAATATTTCCAGAATTTGATTAATAAACAGGAAGAGAAAACATGTTTTAATCTTAAAAATAATAAACATTAAATCGGAAAATAATGTTAATTTTTGAAATTTCACTTTTAAATAAATACAAACTTTGACAACTCCATCTAAATAAGGAATCAAATCTCGCCTCTAAAAATCTAAAAAGTGTGGGGGAAATGAAAATTATAGGAGACAACTCTCCATTTATAGACCATGGCGCAATCAATTCACAACGGTATCATTCAAAGTTTTTACAGATTGATTAAGAATATCCATAAGATATCCATGTTTTTCTCTTTGAAAATTGGTTAAACGACAGTGTTACAGTTACAACGACAGTGTCTTCAAAATAATAATAAATGAAATCCCCAACCGGTGGTTTTATTGGCTGGGATCCCAGGAATTATTCTTTACAAATCTTAACTTTCAAACCACGATTTGATAGGTATAGACAGAATGGACCGTACGCATACCGTACGACAGGATGCATGTACAGTACGAATCGTGCCAGTACAGATTAAACAACTTTTAATGTGGTGTGGGTTATTCAAAACTTGGTGTAACGTCACTCAAAAGAAGTAATTTACGTATTTAATTTGATCATTGTTTAAAATGCAAAGGAATTGAGTCTTTGCCACAAATTCAAATTTTCTAATCCCAATATCGTTGCAACCAGATAGTTACCGTAAACCTTGGATATTTCAAACTTAGATTATTTTATCTTACAGAATTTATAGCTTATTGTGTTGCATAGATATTGGAATTAAAAAATCCTTGTTTGTGGCAAAGAATCAAATCGTTTATTTCCTAAAACTTTGCAGAGTGAGATCTTTTCTGATTTAATTATCCCCATTGGATGGTCAAGTAATATAACATTCCCCCATAATCTTAGTAACCACACACTTTATTTATACTTTAATTTCTATATGCAAATTCATAAGGGATCAGAAAAGAAAAGTTAGAGTTTGTAATGCATGTAGATTCTAGATTGGAATTTTGATGGGCCTTAGTTGAAATTTCTCCTTTAGCATATGGTGTGCAGAGCAATGGTTTTCATTTTAGGTTTAGGTTTTCAGAATCGGGTTCACTTTAATTATACTTACGGGGAAATTACCTAACTTTAACATATGCTACAATAGATACAGGGGGGGGGGGGAGCACAAAATATAAATTTTCATGTTATTTCAACTATTTTTAGCATAAAAATTGCTTCATTGTATTTAAAACTAAAATAGAAAAATTTTGAGAAAAAATTCATAAAAGGAAAAAACAATTGGTAAAGAATTTAGAGCAATTTAAAAAAAAGAGATTACATTCACTATGTTAATTAAGTTTAAAATCATGACCCCCGAAAATATGTTTCTTATGAGCAATATCTGTTTTTTTATCATGACATTTTGTACTTTATACAATAATATCAATTTATTAATACAATAAGCAATGCAGTTTTACTATTCTGCAAAATAAAAATAATTAAAATTATAGTTTGTATATTGAGAAAAAGAAATTGAGTTAAATTTTCTAATACCTATATATTTGCAAACCTTTGTTATCTCAAACTTAGATTATTTGATCTAACATAATTCATAGTTTGACATATTTTTAAGGACTATATATGACATTGGGTTGCATAGATAATCGGATTAGAAAATCCGAGGTTATGGCAAATTCTTTTTACAGAAAATGAAGTGTTAAATTCCATCACGTATAGGCTTAACACACCCTTGTCATTACAAAAATAAAATTACGGCAAAAATACCCAATTCTGTTTGAAATTATGGAGAGAAGCCCATATTGAAGTTGACAATCCTTTTAAGTAAATTAATCTTTATATCTAGAATTTTAATATTTCATAATTCTGGTAATTCTGATAATTGGAAACAGATGTGAGTGATGACGCGTTAATAGCTGATCCTCACACGCAACACGCAACACGCAACACGCAACACGCAATACGCATTCATGTACAACTAATGCGTATGTTCAACAAATCATTTGACTTGAAAGGCAGTTTGTGGTAAACAAGCTTAGTCAGATTATATTGGGGAAGAACTATACAGTTTTCTAAAGCAATCATTGAAAGATTAATAATGAAAGCTTCTTTTATTTTATTGAATAATATTATTAAATATTTATTTATTCATTATTAAAGTTATTCAAGGTTTATCATGTTATATAGGTTCATACAGTGCTAACCACACACGGTAAGAATTAGGTTAAGTCTTTACTGAGTGATCGATCCTGTACATTGTATCTGTGATTGGTCCTGTACAATAAGGGTGATATATGTGACTTTTTTTTCTAGAAATCAGCTAACCGGCCACCAGAGGTTGCTGCGTTTTCACTTGATAAAGTGTTATAATAACATTTTTTTCTAAATTGCCACACAGTTGCTAATTGACGATTTAATATCGGAGAAATCAGAGTAAGGCTCCAAAAAAAATATTTCAGAAAATTGCATGTTATAAATCATTTTCTTGGATACTTTATGCTAAATTCAAATCTGGAAAGCGCTTTAAAAAAAATGAAAATTGAATGAGTTAGAGCTAGAAAACTCACCAAAATCCTTAAAAAGTTAAAAAAAACCAGATTTTTGGACCGTTATTTGGCTAAGCATGCTTAAATTATTTAAATTTTTTAAATCGCTTTTCAGATTTGAATTCAGCATAAAATTTCCAAGAAAATGACGCAAAACACAAAATTTCTCTATTTTTATTTTTGGGCCTTACGGTGATCTCTTCCGAAATTAGAGGGTCATTTCACAACTGTGAGAACGATTTCAATTTTTTTGCCATATTTTTTTAAGTGAAAACGCAGCAACCTCCGGTGGGCGGTTGGTTTAATTCCAATATTGTACGTAAAACGTGTCACTTACTTGAACAGATTCTCTGCCCCACTTCTCAGCATGAGTTCCTTGTTTATTTCCATATTTAACTTGGAACGCTTTGATTGCAACTTCCCTCGGCATGTTGCAGCCCGTGGGTCAGAACCCTGAAAACATGGAATATTAAAATATGTGGAGCCAAAGAAGTTGAGTATTCGCCACAAGCTCAAATTTTTAATCCCTATATTTTTACAACCTGGTGGTGTACACCTTTAAGGTCTACCACATTGGGTTGCAAAGATATAGAATAGAAAATCTGTACTATATGAAACCTTAAAAGGGATAAAAAAGAAATAAAATTTTTAAACATGAAATCTTTAATAACATAACATAAAAACATATTTTTAAAGAAAAATGAAGAGATAATTGTGGGTTTTCAATTTCATATCTAAATAATAACCAACCTTCCATGAACAATTGTTTTCTTCATCATAATTTAACATCCAAAGAGAAGTTAAATAAAATTGAAATCATACATTTAAAAACTTTGTGTTAAATTTTCAAGATGGTCTGAAAAAGGAATTATTTCATGACTTGAAGGATAAAGACAGAAAACTGATATAAAACGTTGTCATTAATATTAATTAATTAATTAATTAATTAATTAATTAATTAATTAATTAATTAATTAATTAATTAATTAATATGATAACATTTTATATTAATAATAATAAACAAAAGATTTCCCCAGTCGTATTTGTTTTATTGTAGTGAATATTGTATTCCAGGAAGGCAATATACGGCTAGTTTATCCAGAGGCCGAATTTTAACAATTTGAGCCGTGGCTGAAACGCGGCTCAAACATGGTTGGTTCCACTTAAAATTGTATTTAATGTTTGTTTCAAGATTTCAGCCGGCGCTCAATTGAAACCGGTTTTTGGCGGATTTAATACGCGGCTCAAATTATTAAATTCGGACTCTAAATAGTTCGATGATCTCAGAACATGCGCTCACGTCAGTTTCAACGTAATTTGAAAAGAACCGCTATTTAAAATGTCAAATATTATTGTTTTGTTTTTTTATTGTACTTGGCATTAGACCTTATTATTTTAATTTTCCTAAGTGTTCCTATCTGAAATATATAAAACCTATGCTAGCGCCAATCTTTAACCTTTAAAAGTTATAGTTTTTTAAATAAAATTTTTAAAGACAAATTTAAAATTGTAAACATCCAACTTTCTTTGGGATCAAGTGAGGTCCCAACAAAATTTGGGTACGATCGGATTAGGCGTTTTGAGGTACATTTACCGGTTAAAAACAAACTGACAAGCAAAGTATTTATAGACAATAATTGTTAATTGCGGATTCTCTCTAGGTAATGTAAAATTTTCATTTAACAAATTTTAGTCGAGCACTGGAGCCAAATTCAACCTTGTACAGTATTCTTCAAATTTTATTGAATGACATGTATTATGCATCAAAATTTGAAGACTTATGCTCCTAAGTTAAATTTGGGTCCGGTGCTCCAGCAAAATTTGACATTTCTCAGGAAAAGTTTTCAGAATTTTTGCCTTTTCATGACAGAAAAAGAAAAGCATATCTCAGATCCAAACAAGAATAAGTTTTGCTGCAACCAAGTAAATCATGTATCATCCACATTAGAAAAAATTATTGTTGCAACTTCCTGCCTAATTCTCAGTTGCAACTTCCCGAAATGATTTCGACGAAATGTAAACAACGTCCCGGGGTATAATCATTGCAGCATCTAGGAGAGGAAACAATTCTTGGTAAAAATTGCATCATCTTTACATTAAAGGTTCGCATCAGGTTCCGCAAACATATTATCTTAATTGAAGGTAAAGGTAGAGTGAGCATTTTAGATCCTAGATTAAAGTAGATTTGTAAATAGTTTTTAATAAATCGTAAACTTTCATTCTGGTAAATTAGTCAACATTTTCAAGCATTTCAAGTTCAGACTTTGAAGTCGATTTTTGTTGAATCATAAATATTTTCAAAAATTTAAGATATTGGACTTTTTCGTAGTTTTCGGTAGATTTGGCAATTTCCTTGGATATTTCAACATTGGAAATGTTCGATATTAACAGTCTAGGACTTTAATAATAGGAGGAGAATAGGACAAGAAGGACACGTAGTAGGACAAGAATATTTGCTATGACAGATTATCATAGGACAAGCAACAGACAGTTCAACGATGGGATTATAAAAAGGTTTTTAAAACGAAATCATTATCAGTAGAACGTGGACATTAATTAATCATTAATAAGCCTGTAGAAGAAATACAAAATATTGTGTTACGTAAAAACTTATTAAATGACAGATGCCATGTTTTAGATGCAGCAAAGTACATAAATAGAAATTAATAGGGGTGAAACTACTATATTTACATTTGCTTTATCCTTGCTATGTATTCAATTACAAGATCATTGAACTGTAATTATAAAGTTAACGGTCGGTTAGAAACACTATATCAGTGAGAACTAGAAAACGCTGGGAATAAAAGACGACTTTTAGACTCGAGATATAATATAGAATAGTCTAATATACAGGATACACAGCAATTGTGCAGTGCACACAAACCATTTCACTTTGAAATTGATTTTTAAGCTACTTGTAAATCTATTTGCTTTGTAACAATATCAATTACACTTTAAATATTGGTTAAATGTCGTCTTCCTATTCCATACTTTTCTGGTTCTTACTTTCAATATTAAATTATTACGATTTATTCAAACAAATGTTTTTAGTGCTCTTTCAGTTCTTTGTACTCCATTAAGTTTACGTGAAAGAATATTTTTTATATCTAAAATTGGAAAACATGAATTAAACCACAGAAAATTTATGAAAGGAAAAAAAGGTTCATTAAGTTTCTGGCTGAAGTACCCGGCGTTGTCCGTGAAATCTCTATCCCTTAAACTATTTTACACAGGCCATGGGGGACACATACCATTTTTCAATACACGTACCATTTTTCAATTGTGTTACAATTTGTTTAGATATTCCATTATACAATTTAAGTCTTAGGAATCATTTCTTCTTATATATTTCAACTGAAAGGGACTGTAAGCGTAATTTCAAGTGACCCTTCATGCAAAATTACAATTACCGATTCACAACGGTACCCTAGCTTTAAACCAGTATCTGATCAATAATGTGGAAGATATTGTAGTTTTTCTAGGTTTTCAAAATTATAATCATTGATATCTAAATCATACTTGATTAGATAAAGCTTTAAGAGTAACGTTGTGAATCGGACATTGCCATGTTTGCATAAATGGTCACTTGAAATTACGCTTACAGTTCCTTAAAAGAAAGTTTATATGTATTATATATATATTTCAGTTTTTAAACTTCACTTTTTATTAAAAAAGAAATATACTAAAAAATATTTTTTAATATAATTTTATATATTTGCATTGTAGAGAATTGCATAGTTACGACAGGTGAAGGTACATAAATTGTCAAACCTTCATTTTATTAATTCAAAACAAATTTGATGATCTTTTTACTATCTCCACTCCTATTGCAAAGCATAAAGGTTTTAAGGCAGGTAAGGCTCAAAGGTATATAGCAAAACAAACATTAACGCTTTATAATTTAGCTCCCCCCGCCACACTCCTTTCTCAACAAAACTAAAACTTTTTTTTCATTATTATTAAAAAGGTCATTGTCTGATGACAAAGGAATTGAGTTTTTGCCACAACCTCTTATTTTCTAATCCCTTTATCTTTGCAAATCAATGTCGGAGACCTTTGATATTTAATTCAAACTATGAATGTTTTAAGATCAAATAATGATAGTTTGAAAAGATTGGAAAATCAGAATTTGTGGCAAAAACTCAGTTTCTTTATTCTTTATATATTTGTTTATATTTGTAGCTGCAAGTAAAGATCAAAAGCCGCTTGTCTATTAGTGGCGTACCTCGAAGGGGGGGCAGCAGCCCTCTTGCCCCCCCCCTGGGAGTTCCAGGGGGGCCCTGCCCTGCCCTAAAATCCTGTGTACGCGCCTGTTGTTTAATTATTAAAATATCTTAATTTAAAGCTTAAAATTAAAACATCTGATTAATGGGGAAAATTTTATCCGGGGGATTTAATCGTTTAAAATATAAACTTAAGTATAGCAAAATAAATAGTAAACACGCATTAATAAAACTAGAGTGCACAAGTCAAATTGTGAAAGTAAATAGTTAGAAAGGGTTCTGGGCGTAAACAATGTCAAATCTCTAAAGTGAGTAGGGGGTGATAGGGGTTAAAGAATCAAAGATCCTTGTGTGGAAAGTATATGGTTGTAAATCATGTAGTTTTCACGAACTGTTGAATATTTATTCCAATTTTCATCATGATAAAAAATTCTTTATTCATGCAGGTTAAATTAAAACAAGGTAATCTGCATCATTTTTTGAGATATAGAAATATAAACCGGACTTCACAGTGTAACGTTTTAAAAATTAGTAAAATTATAAATATTATATTACAAAAAAAGAAGGGACAGCTAGGTATCATTAGAAGAGAACGAATAAGTAAGATCAATTATAAATAAAACGCAGTGGTTTACAAAAATATGTTTTTCGAATTTCTTCATTTTTAAACTTCCAATCAAACATGATTTTTAGCACAACAACCAATAAAAGAAACTTCGTACATATGTATAAAATTTAGGACTAATTTGTTATTCTTCCTCCATTTAAATCAGCTTTTATTGTTAATCTATGGATTTTTCCGCAAAATGGCAGATTTTTCTTGCAAACTGGCAGATTTCCCTTCAATTTGGCACATTTCCCTTCAGATTGACAGATTTCCCTTCAAATTGACAAATTTCCATTTAAACTAGCAGATTTCCCTTCAAACTGGCAGATTTCCCTTCAAATTGGCAGAATTCCCTTCAAACTGTCAGATTTCCTTTCAAATTTGCAGATTTCCCTTCAAATTGGCAGATTTCCCTTCAAACTGGCAGATTTTTCCTTTAACCTGTGAGATTTTCCCTTCAAACTGGCAGATTTTCCCTTCAAACTGACAGATTTCCCTTCAAACTGGCAGATTTTTCCTGTAACCTGTGAGATTTTCCCTTCAAACTGGCAGATTTCCCTTCAAACTGACAGATTTCCCTTCAAACTGGCAGATTTTCCCTTCAAACTGACAGGTTTCCCTTC